ATGAGCATGGTGGGTACTACCCACCAAACTAGCTAGTTTTGTACTATAGTAGGGGAAGTTGGAGGTGCGATTGGTAAAGATCTCATCAATGGTACAGGACTTCCTACGGATCAGGCCTGGTTTTTACGCCGTAAAAACTGATCGTATTTACATTTTTACGCATAATAAATAGTTTTTACGTTTCGCCCGTAAGAACGCGTAGAAATACGTTAACACAACATAAATACAGACCTGTGTACATAAAGACAGCACATACGGACTTGGGAGTCCGAGAAGTGGCATTCAGGTGCACTGGAATGGGCAGAAAGCGAATTTTTGTTCCATGCCATCGTTGCGCTTGCCGAGGCGAGATGGATATTGTGTTGCCGGTGCTGGAGATGGCCCAGCACTTATCACTGTACGCAAGTTTTAACTTGTAATCTGGGTGTCCCAATGAGGCGTGAAAACGTAAAAATAGCCGCAAAAATAGCTCCTTTCACAAATTTATGTTTTCGCGCGTTAAAATGTAACGTCAAAACATGAACGTAAAAACGTGAACGTAAATGCAAAAACCAAGCCTGTTACAGATGACATACAAGGTTTGCAAGCTCTTTTTCAGTTTGAAGCCTTGCTTCCACCTCCTCACGCAGGCGGCGTCCGTAGTCTTCATGGGCCTGGTAAGAGACCAGAAATAGTAAATAAGCAACACTGGCTGCAATTATATGGATGTATCACATCGCCTTGCAAAAGCGACGGGATGAAATTGTGGAGGGAAGCAGTGATCACATGCAATCGAATGTCCATCCACATTCGCTTGGCGCACATTGCGCAATGGTAGAACAGCTGCGTGCAGACTGCCACGGAGATGTTCACTGAGCGGGGAGAACAACGCTCTCCGATCCTACGGGCCGTAGATTTGGGACGTCGATTCAGAAGTGTGCTGTATGCAGGCATATGCCATAAACGTCAATTTTGCGCGCAAGGTAAAGCTATGCAATGTTCGCGGTGGTCAGTGCCTGTGATAGACGGTTCATTTACAGTTTCCTGTTGACACAGCAACGCAGTGCGGCATTCTCATCCGCTCAGGTACCAGAATAATTTCGTTGCGCAAAAACACCGCGTAACTGAAGAGAATCGTAAACAAACATTTAAAAAACCATCAACAACGAAGCAGTAAACGTTAAGCGCACTTCATGCATTGGATTACTTTCACAGGCATCCCCGAAGCCATCTGCAAAGAGAGCCAGACCTCTTCCCGCCCCTCACCGAAGGTGGCGCACCTCCCCCTTACCATCTGCACCCTGGCCCAGCGCATGTTGTGGATGCGTTCCCCACCCTCCGCCTGCGCCTTCCGCACCGCCTCCTTCTGTTCCAAGGCTCGACGCCTGCTCAGCAGCCGGTTCTCCTCCATGATCCTCTCGATCTCCGCCCTTTCCTCTTTGGCCTGCCCCGCAAATCCGAAAGGATTTACATGCCGAACCTCCGAAGGAAACCGCGGCCGAGAATTCCACGTAATGTACTGCAATTTTCCTCTTCGCCCTTAGCCGTTCAGACGGCTCTGGGGGCAGCGGTTGCCTGCGTCCCTCTTGGCACCCACTCTACGGTGGATGATCTCAAAAAGGAAAGTACGGGGACACTCTCATGAAGGAGCCAAAAACGAAGAGCTTACAACTTATCAAACACACAAGAATGCTCCGCCACGTTGAGCGCCAGGGAAGGCGACACTGTGCCACCGTCGCAGCTAGATCTGCGGGAACGCTTTGCTTCATCGCGTGAGAAGAATCCATTCCCGTGAGCTCAGCACCCGAGACCTGCACAGCGCCATCACCCCGATCTTCCCGCGCCCCTGACATCCTCTGTTGCCCTTTAGCACGCCCCCCCTCGGCGCCCAAGCTGGGCGGTTCCAACTTGTGGACAAGTTCTAGGTCTGCCCAATTGAGGGACATGTGGTGTGAGGCGCACCGCTTCACAACGTTCGTTTCTGCTAGTTTTCTCAGAAAGGCCGTGGAAGAGCAGTGCGCTCCTCAGCTGAGGTGCTGGCCACCATGGGCTCCTCCCGATTTACGTCATTATGAACTCTTGAGTGAAATTCGTTCAACAGAATATACGCACCTGCGCCACCATGCTCTGCTTCTCCTGCAGCACGGCCACCACGCGCTCCAGCCTCGCTCGGCGGCTCTCCTGCTTGGCCATCAAGTGGCCGCGCCTCAGGGCCCTCAGACTGGCGGCCGCCTCTCGCATTCGCCCCGCGCGCTCCATCTGCCTCCGTTCATTCCGCTGCCTCAGGCGGCGGAACTCCTCCGCCCGCCCGCGTGTCTCCTGGATGCGACGAGCCGCCTTCTCCTCCTCCTTCTGCAGCTGCCGCACTCGGTTGTACAGCCGCAAGGTGTCCTCCTCCACCTGGGCAGACGTCGGCCCGTCCTTGAATGCTGAAACTCTTTGCATTTGTGGTATCAGTTGAATCCTTTTGCGTCGTTTGCATTCTTTTCGTGCTTGGTATGTATTGCATCGCTTGTATCTAGCGTATCGCTCATATTCTTTGTAACATCTTTTCAAGAATTACCTCGAAAGTGTAGCGACGCCCTTGCACTTGCTCGCAAAGCGTTCGAAGGGGGCGTGGGAGGGAGGCGGGGGTGCCCGCAGGGCTTGAGGGGCCGATGTCCGAACTTTCTGTTGGCCCTTTGCAACAAAACTGCGGCGCAAAAATCGGCGAGGCGAGAAGGCGTTGGTGAAGGATCGACGCTGGCACGTCGACGCTCAAAGAGTCGACGCGCACTGCCGGTTCCCGAATCATGCGGGCACTTGGAGAGAAACTACTTGGTTCTTTGGGGAGAGGCGCTGTTGAATCGAGCGAATGATCCGCTTTCATGGGAGTGACCCGCCCAAGCGATGTCCAGTGTATGATCGCCGTACACCCCAAGGTCCTAAATAAACTCCAGCATCATCTCAAAAGCTGTATACCCAAGGTGCGCAGGATTCCCCTTTTGATCCCAAATAATCTCGCACATTGATGTCAAATGTTTGTATTAAATATGGGCGGCAGCGCATAAATACGCGAGGAGTCTATCCTGAGCAGGAATCCTCAGAAAAAAAAGCCATAGGCATCCTGTGGATATTGCAACGCTTTCCGCGACGGCTGAAAGAACAGCTTTTTGGCAAACACAGTTTGTCCCATCGCCACAGTGAGCCGCAACATTCGCAGTACATGGCCGCCTGTAGTCTGCTGCGACAGGCCCTAGGGTTTTTCCGGGCGGGGCGCCACCTGCTTCCTGGCGCGCTTCTCCATCAAGATGGATGCCGCGATGTCGCGGTAGGAATAGGAAGATGCGCTCTCGTCGCGCCCAGAGGTGGAGGGGCTGTGGCAGTCGGCGACTTGCTCCATAGGTGGTGCTGACAACTTTGACCGGCGGCAGACCGGGGGAGACGGCGGTTGCGGGCCTGTGCCGGCCTCCGCAAGCGGGCCCTTTTGCGTTGGGGATGGTGGGGAGTAGCGGGCGAGCTGTGGTGGCGGTGAAGTTAGGCGGCGGGGGTCGAGGGGAGGGGGCGTGTGGTGGCGGTGGTGTGTGTGTTGGGGGGGGGCCTGAGACTCGACGTCAACGGCGACTGTGCACGAGTGAAATGCGCACGGATGGGGCTTTGTACGATTTCAGCACATGCACGGCATCTGAGGGCCCCTGCCCTCGACAAGGGGAACGCATCTGGGCAATGAGGCAGCCGACAAACCATTATTTTGTTCTTTTGTCTGTCCAGTCGTGCTGGTTTTCTTGCCTCCATCCGCCATCTGGCGCGTCTCAGCCTATCCGGCTGTCGCCCCCGTGCCTTGATCCCTGAGGCCCCGTTTTCACTATAGTCTATTGTGGTGGCTACAGAAATGGCGACATGCTCATCTTATGACAATTGGAGCCCGAGACTGGAGAGCAACTTGCCAAAGTGAGCGCATGGTTACAGGGTGATCGTGCAAAAGTCTAGACCTGTCCTGGCCGTTATGTAAATACCTATCACATACATATCGGTGTGCGAATGTACTAAATGCACACATCCTAGTGGTGTTGGCATCTGATGCAGGCAACACCATCTTGTGTCAGGATTCCTGGTCTCAGATCGTGTCTGTGTACACTCCATTTGGAAGCCAGTGGGCCTGTTCTACCCGGAATGAACACGCTCTACTGAAAACCCAATGCACAAGGGCGCAGAGACCCCTAGTTACAGGCGCAATTAAAAATTGGCAATTAAATATTAACCATCCCAAGACATGTCCAAGTTTCTTGCATCGAAAAGCTGACAACACGTCCCAATTCTCGAGTACAACTTCTTGCTGACCCCCAGTGTTCCTTGAAAGCTTGGCTGAAGGGAATACCTGTCTGTACCTACATCACCAGCGCATTTGCGGCTCCGCCATGGTGCACGTTGGTGCTGTTGTCAGTAGGCAAGAAACAAGGGAAGTCCAGTGAGCTGACGAGGCCACCAGTTGAGAATGCCCCCTATTCTGCCCATGACACCACAAGTGTGCGTGCACACCAACCACTATCGGTCAGCGAAGCTGCGTGTGTGCCATTCCTATATGCTATTCCTATACGCCTCCTGTATTGCTTGGATCATTTTCAGGGACTGATGGCAATGCACACTTGCTCGAGCCACCCACCTGCCTCGGCCAGGCTCCTTGATGCTCTGAACTCCAGCTGAACCGATGCTCTTGCAATTGGCCAGAGGAAGGGCACTGCAAAAGAATTTCAGTCGTGCTCGTGCTTCGAGTAGACCAATCAAAGTCAACAGAAATCATTCACAGTAGTCAGCAAGCTTACTGGACCTCATACAGACCCACACAAGACTGTCTTGCAACACCACAGTGGTCAGCCACTGGCTTCAACTCTGCAGCTGCAGATTGCATTGCTTCCTCAGGTGCTTGATCCCTAAGAAATCAGGATCTCTGCCGATGGCTGAATGATGGTGGCAAACTGTGGGTGTATGTACAAATGCCATCAACATGTTATGCCCTCCTCCTCTGGGTAGCTCTCTGCACTTCAGGAATGTGCCAAAATGCTTTCTGCCAGATGGGCTGTGTCCCCCATCTCCAGAATCTGGAGTCCAGATGCAGCAGCCCCACCCTTCTTCCCACGCAACTGCATTGGGGACCGATCTACACGATGGCACTTGGTTGGCTTCCTTCGCCCTGGTACTACATCCATCACGGCAGGAGGAGAGATCTCCTGATTGCCACCAGTCGGACTGCTGTGCTTGCCCACTCCTGCACTCCACTTCACCCTGGATTTCGTCTGCCCCAAACTTGCCTTCAAACTTCCCAGTGGTCGGGAATATCGAATGCCCCATCTGGTCATTTTCCCCACTGCTCCGAAACCATCGGCTTCCTCCACATTCTGCAATTTCCCAGAGAAGCTCCTCCACAAAAGCAGAGCGTTCTGTGCATCCTTTGGGGAATTGCAAATTGACACTGACCTGATGCCTTCACTTGTGCTTGGTGGCCCACTTTGGAACAGGTTGCTGTATGCTGCATAGACCAAACGCCTTCCCATCCGACCTTCCACACCACCCTCATGGTTTTCACGCTGTCCCACACGAGTTGCACATAGCCTGGGATGCAGATTGAGACAAACAGAGTGGACCTCGCAGCCTAGCTCTAAAGCGAGCTGAATGAATGTCTGCCTTTGATCTGCAGCACAGAGCACACTGTGCAAATTCGCTTTTGTTTTTCGATTAAGCAACAGCTACCCTCCAGGCAGCTCAAGGTAACAAAGGCACAGATTGCCACTGAACAAAGCAGGCATCAAGCTGTTGCGCGATGGCCACACAGGGGCAGTGTTTTCTAGATCAGCATCTCGATTACTTTTGAAGACATATCACCTTACATGGCATGTTTTTGTCAATGGTGGGAACAATACACTGATGAGCAACAGTACCAATTCCCCTGGACCATGCCACAGGGTGCATCAGTGTGCTAACACCATCACGCAATCGTGCAGCAATGCTTTTCTGAGACATTCAGTTGCACAAAGGGACACAGGCTGCATTTGCATGTGATAGGTGCGTATACATGCAGTTTCCCTCTGCATATTGGCTACATGCAAACGCCTCTGTGCCCATGGCTTTTGTGCACAAGTCACAACACACAAACACAGGACATCTTTGGGACAAGGTGTGTGTCCTGTGAATAATCACAACAAACGAGGCAATCTGTTGATCACATTTGTCAAAACCTGAGGAACATTGTCCTGGCCTGCACAATTCCATCAACAACGTTAATTGAATTCTTGCTGTTTACAAGGGATAGATGGCAGGCGAATAGATATTCACAGAGAATAGATGCACCCATTGATGCCGGTTTTGTGTGGATATTTGCGCAGGGAAGTGGTTAAATTCTTTAGTTTGGATTTTTCCAAAGACCATGAAATGCAGCCCTGGCACCCTTGCGATGACGGGCATATTTCCGCATGCAGGAGTCGTCCCCAATGCCTATGCGTCCCAAAGTGGGAGGGGCACCTGCAGTCAGATTCATCCTGTCCACAATGCAGTTGATGCCCCTTTGGAGACACTCCTTGGCGGCCCGCCGGCACTGCTCCCGTGTTCCCCTGCCGCCAGACCGCACGGAGTCCTGGTTGACTCGCATCCAAGTCGACATGCCCTTCTCCACAAGGTCCTTGCTGAATGTGCTCTTCCCCGAGCCCTGGATCCCGACCAGGATCAGCATCACGGGTCTGGCCGATGGTGCCTCACCGAGTGCCTGCAACGCCACGCACGCGCATCGTGACTGTCTCAACGCTGTTGGCGCAATTTCACTCGCCATTATTTTCGGCAATCGTAGCACATGTGCAATATTTCAGCATCTCAATCTCTACCAATGCTGGAACAGTACTTGGCCACATGCATATGCAAGAGCAGGGCTCCAAACGGAAACTGGACAGAAGGCAATACCAGTCCCGACTTGGACCGTCAGAGGCCCCGCCCGAGCCAGAGAAACCCCCCCTAATGCACCCACCTCGCCGCTCGAACTGACCTCTGCAGTCGCGGGATCAGCCATGGGCCCCACCGACGGCCCCTCCTCCGATCGGTCCGGCCCCTCCCCCGCCAAGGCCCGCACCGAGTCCCCCGTGCGCTGATGGGCATCGCCCATGGCCATCAGCACGACGCAGTCGCGGGACGTCATCCTACCCAGCAGGCCCTTTCTCTGCGGCTCCTCAACCGCGCCACTTGAAGCACCGCAGCGAAGCACAGTCAGGCTCACCTCGCCGCGGGCGAGGCGACGGGGGCCGCGCAGGCCTTCCCCGCGGGGCGGGACGCCCGCGTCGCTTTGCGGACGACCAGCTTCGATTGCGCCCCAGATGCCGGAGAGGCTAGCCCGACCCAGCCGAGGGCGCCGACCCGGCGCCAGCGCCATCCTCAGACCGCTTAAGAGCACCAGCGGCCCCATCGGCCGCCCTGTACCGTGGAAACGCGCCCAGCGGGGAGACGCACCCCCTGTGACGCCTCAGGAACTGTGCTGTGTTTTTCTGTGCACAATCTACTTATTTAGTCATTTTTTTTAACAACTAAGCAGTTTCTTTTGTCAATTTTTGTTTATTTTGCATTATTGCCATTTTTGTCACTAACGGCGGGGTTCAATGTCATTTCTGGTCATTTGCGCTGCGCACAAAGCCGACGCCGACGCCTGCGCAGCGCTGGTCGTCTTGGGCGTGGGGCGCCGAAGATGTCTTCCCAGCTGCTGCGGCAGCAGCGGGATTCATTGGAGTGGAGGCTTCAACCAGCGATCCTTGTTGGCGGTGTGGCTTCAAGAGAGATCCCGACATCGGCATGTGGACAGATCAGCCGCTCGTTTTGGCCGTGGCATCACAAACAATGCGCAGTCAAGGGCAGTGTAGTAGCATGGTGAAGTGACACAGTCCAGAGTTGGTTGGATGTGCACCAACGACACTTCAAGCGCAGCCACATGTCTCTGTTAATTTCATGATGATTTTCAATTAGTGGCACAGCACTCGCTGCAGGCATAAACACTCGTAGGCCATCGGCAGTGGCCATAGCTTAAGGTGTACCAGGATGGTGTTACAAGCCCCCCGTGGTATGTCGCTCGCTGCTCAGTGCCCTCTTCAAGTCCTCTTGCTCACCAGGTTGGCGCAGAAAAACCCGCATCCACTGGTTGCTAAGCACACAGCTGCAATTGCGCACATCGCATGTAGGGAGATGCAAAAGACCAGTGCAGTGCGCATCGTGTCACCTGTCTCGGTTTACACGCAGGTCGCCGCCCCAAGTTTGGCACGACCTGTGAACTGTCCGACACATGCGTCCAACGACGCCACCAAATCCCATCCAAAACAATGACGCCATTCCGGCGCCCCATCAGAGGGTCACAAGTTGAATTTGAACGTCAGCGGCCTCCTCCAGCCCTGCCCCCCTTCCGCGGACTTATCACCCTCGCGAGTCTGCCTGGCATCGTCGTTGGCATCCGGGCTGTCCGGCGGATCGAGTTTCTCAACGCCGTTCTCGGTGGGCTTGCCACTGGGCTCTTCAGGGGCCGGGTTCTGTTCTACCAGGCTGCGCTGCGCAGCTGCAAGCCTCTCCGCCTCCCTCCTGACCTGTTCCTCGCGTTCGAACTCACGCTCCTCTTCTTGCATCATGTCGATGGCGGATTGCGTCAGGTCCTCCAGGAAGCACTCTGCGTCCTGTGGGCACAGTCCATCCATCATGCACGAGAGATCCATCCATCAACCCAAAAAAATCACTGATAAGTGTTCACAAAACCGGGGTCAGGAAGCCGGATCAAGCTTTCCTGAGCAAAGCAGACTCCTGGTTGGGATTGGACAATCTTGACACAAGTGTCAGTGCTCGATTGTGCTTGTTCATTGTCACAAAAAACTGCAATATCGCCTTTTGGACCATGGTGGGCTTCAATCCACCCACATTGCTAGCTCACGAATATTAGCACCATTTCCTCCCCCCCCCCTTCCCCCCCCTCTCCTCCTTCCACTTTGCAGGGTGTGGCTTGAGAGGAGGAAAAAAGGAGTTTGCTGCGCCGATTCTTGGCAGTTGTGGAGGTGTTGATGGGCAGCATGGGCACACCAATAATTACAGTTCAAAATCGTGAAACAGCCATAAGGGCTGCCTCCTCTGAACAACCAGAAAACCCAAAACTACGTCTGTTATTTCCAAAGTACAAGGGTCTGTGGTCATCACTACAAAGCGCAACATACCGATACACAGAAATTTTCCACAAGCGTATTGTTCTATAAATGACGAAAGCCACCAATAGATGCCAGCAGGCAACAGCAAGGAATGCACAAGGAACATCACCAGCTCCCCACTATCCTGCCCAGTGCCGAGAATGGCAAGCTCAGTCACTATCTTTGCTTGCATGTGTCTATACAGAAAACAAACAGGAAGTTGTTCCACGTGGAATGGTGGTGGTTGTGGAAAATGGAGATTAATATGGTGATACTTTGGTTTCGGAGCAGCAATCAATAACCCAAAAAAGGCCACAGTGCATCCACACAACAATTTAAGGTTGAAAGCAAAGCTATCAGGAGGGCCCTTAAGTCTCACCTTTACCCTTCCCCTGAGGTCTTCCACAGACTTCAACGCCTCCACCAGTTTGGCCAGCATGGCCCCTCTGTTCTTGCTTCTCTCACCCACTGCCTTCACCTGGCTGCTCATGGCTTCCACCCTTGCCATTGCAGCCTCCTTGGCACCCTGCCCCTTCTTCACGTCCGCCTCCAGGGCAGCAACCCTGCTGATCAGCTGCTGTTCACGCTTCTTGGCCTCCAGTAAGTCCTTCCTCGTGTTTGTCACCACAGCCTTGGCCATCTTGCGACTATCGTTGGAGGCACCTGGACATCCACACACTTTGTTATGTTGACAATCGACACACTGTACCACAGCGACTTCGAGAGAGCACAGGCATCTGACTTTTACCAGTGCCATTTTGGGTATCTGTAGTTGTGTCTCTGTTGGGAACTCAGTGGGTTGTGAACCACCAAAGAAGGGCCAGTGCACTCCCAGTCCAATGGTCCCAAGAATCGTTTGGGAAAGCAGTTGTACATTCAAACTGGGCCGCAGTGAACAATCCCAAGTGCAGGGAACAGAAAGGGGCCTGCTCTCGCCTGACCCTTGCTGCCAAAGCAGCGAGCAATGCCTTCGTATCAACTCAGCATTTGACCAGCCATTTTGCACAGCAGAAGCTTGCCACAATTTCTTACATATGTACACATGCACACAAACCAGGCTTGGGAGTGACTGAACCCCTGGAACCATCAGACAACCAAACAAACATTGCAAGGGTTTGCATTCCAGACAAATGGAGATGCCACCCCACCTGAGGTGAACGAGTTTCCCAGGGAACTGGAGCTCCTTGGGGATGCTGCTCCCCGGGAGCGCTTCCCAGCTCTACTCCTCCTTGGGTCACTTCGAGACCTCGACCTTGCCTTGTAGCCCCGACTGTATCTGCGGCGATCCCTGCCATAGCGAGGACTCCACCCTCGGCTACGGCTCCTGCTGTAGCTCCTGTGGAAGTGCACACAGAATGGTTGCCTCCAGCTGCTCATAACAACAATGATGGTACGAGAAACTGCCATCTCCAGTGGACTGCGCGTTTGATAGTCGAACGTCTCCAGGTCCCGTCTCCTGTGGACTGCGCGTTCAAAAGCCGAAGGTTTCTCCATGGCCATGACGAGGACCAGGTGTGAGCAGTGCTAAGTGAGACAGAAACAAAAGGGCAGGCTTCCTTCCAGTGGCCGGGCACAATCGCGTCAATTACCTATCAAGAATTTTCACCCATGTATGAGAAAACCATAGCACAAGCACATGTGCAAGAACGTCACGTTTTAAACACGTGCACAACATTCTATCTAGAAGCTGACGTGAGCAGCATGTCCATGCATTGTGTCTGTTCATGATGCACAAATGATTATCACATGCAAAACATGGCTTGCACATTGCTCAAACCGCAAAAAAAGCAAGGATCACCAGGTGAGCCTGCAGGCAAGCCTCTCCAGGGAGAGAAACAGGACCCACATCCCAACTGCCAGTGGGCATGCCAGATTATTCGGTCACAATGTCCAACAAGAGGGGGAATATTGCCAACCTTACCACACGCTGTCACAGGAATGTCATGCACACAGCTGAATCGGTATTACACAAGGAACTCGCAGCTAATGAGTGTGCATCTTTGGTGCCAGAGAAAACTGTCAGCATGCTCCTTACCGGTATTTCTGTTCCTTCTCCATTCTTTGTGATGGCTGAGCTGGAACTCATTATCCCAAACCAGAGACAGACACGTATTCAGAGACACAATGTGCTACAATTTTTCATATTCCATCTGCTCTGATCTGCAGTAACAACAGCTACAGGGGACAGCACCTGGACTCTTGAATGCAAAATTCCCTACTTCAAGCAAGAACAGATGCAGAAACTCCTCTCACCTGCTACGCGTGTGCCTTGCTCTTTTCCTCCGTGGGGTTATGGAGCGCGACACGCTGCGAGACATGGAGCGAGCGTGACTTGGTGAGCCATCACCCCAACGCCCAGGGCTGCGAGAAACTGACCGATGATACTTGTACTCCCCCCGACCGCGAACCCTGCAGGCCACAAATAGCCCCAAGCACGTGAGGGTCAAGCATTTCAAGAGTGGCTTAGGTGTGCACCTGCAGCGCCTCCATGGATCAAGGAACACCACCCACTCCAGAACTGATGCTGGGCTTGCAATGGAGGGTCCCATGGGTGTTCAGTTCAGGATCAGCTGCTTGAAAGCCAGAGCACCTCTGAACTTAAGCAGGATGCCTGGCTGTCACTCACTGCTCAAGGCAACAGCACCCATCTCCACACAAACTAAGAACACAGGATACGGGCAGAATTCCTAAATATCTGATGACCCGATTCCAAAACAAAACGAATCACAGCACTTGCACCTACTAAACGATGTTGGGCACCTTCAGGCCAGGGGATGGATGTGCTCTTGTGCCTGAATAAACAACTGGCTCCATACGTCTAACAATCGCACATCCACTCACCTCCCACATGATGAGAAATTCTGGTGTGACTGTCGCAAAAGAACTTGAAATCAGACAAATCAAGGCATGGCACAATCGACACAACTCAGACACAATCGGGGGGCCACTGTCAGGCAACACGTCCAGCCCGCTGTGCAACTTGGAAAGAGCAGATCTCAAACGCTGCGACAGGCACACCTGGCACCCTGAAGGTGCACCAGTGGCCACATTTCCAGTCATATCGACCCACCTCAACGCTCACCCTCAACAAAGCTCCAACACATCAGACCCCCACGACACTACTCCTGAACTCCTGAGCAAGGCGCAAAAACGGGAAAGCGGGATGGGCAAAGGGACTGCCATGGTGCCATGGGAGCATGCTGTTCAGATTGGCAGCATTGGTCCACAGTGATATGTGGCTGCACTTAGGGTGTGCGGTAGGCTGGCCAAGCCACAAACCCGATGAATCGCTTGGCCAACAGAGCACTCAGGGCCAGATGACCGCATCATGGATATAGCCTAGGGGCATGGCCGTATCAATTGCCAGTTCCCATACATACCACACTGATCATGTCCCCAAACCAGCTATTGCTAGCATTAGAATTGAACCACCACACAAGCAGCCCCTATGTGCACAGTCCGATCTTGTGCTCACCTCATTCCTCTTCTGTCTCTTGGCCGCTCTCTCCACTTTTCTCTTTCTGACCTCTGTCTTTTACTTGGTGGCGGATATCTTGCCAGATTGCACCGGATGGTTTTCCCATCGAGCGTCTGCAACACAACAGCTGTCAATGGCCTCCCACATCCTCAAGACGAGGTTTTCACCCTTAAGACTTGAGGTACAGCACTGAGCCAAAGCCAAGGGTATGTCTACAGGCACACAAGGATCCAGGTACAAATGCAGTACAGAATTGAAGCTCAGGGCATGGTCTGTTCCTTGCCATTGGGCCACGGCTACAAATATGGCTTCACAACCTGCAACCCCCACCCAGAGTCGCATGACGAATACAGAGTCAGGGCTGGGTACATGATCAAGCAGGTTGGCAACTGGTAAGCCACTGAAATGCACATAGTCTGACCAATCACTTCACCGCTTCTGTTGGCGCGGTCCTATGGCCATAATGTTGGGTTGGCCTGCCAACAGCGGAATCATATCTCCCACTTAAGAATCCGTGATGGAATGCTGCGACTCCACAGCACACCACAATCATCCCCAGCAGCAAGGGGGGTTCATTTGGTTGGTAAGCACCCCAGATACAGAGTGCAACTCGCACTTATGCAAGGTCTGCCAGAATCCAGCAGTCACATTATGGCCCTGGAAAACACCTGCCCAGGTCCCTTCAAGGAGATTGAGCAGAGGAGAGGTTCGAAGCGAAAAGTGTAACGTTCTTGCGTACAGTGTGCCCTACATAAATCTCCTTGGGTGCACTTGAAATGCAAAATCTGCACTGAAATATTCCATTTCCCAGATTCAGAGCTCACAGCATTCACGGACATCATCCTCCCAGGCAGCTGAATGAGCACAAAGAGCACACATTCTTTTGCATTTCTGCCAACAGAAGGTTTGCAATAAAGCAATGCCTGACATCTTTTCACAGCCCCAAATTCATCAGAACACGCACCTTTCCATGTGCTTGGGAAACTGCCAGATCTGCGTCCCCAGTCGACTCAAACTTAACAAAACCGAATCGCCTGGACGCTTGCGTTTCTGGGTCCAAGACGACCTGAAAAGTGAACCCACAAGTAAGAACAAGCGGTGTTGTGCCTGCAAACATCCAAGTTGACAGCTGTGAAACAGCGCCTGTCAGCATCCGTCTCATAGCGCAGCGAGTTCCCTTAGCACTCCCTAGCCCCCATCCCCGCCCACCCCCACCCACAGGGCGCAAGAAACAGGCAGCCCAGACGTCAACAGAAACGAATAGCATTCATGATTACAGAGCAGCTGTAGATGGTGCTTGCCAGTTGCCCTTTCCAAAGCATCTCCCTTCACCAAGAAGAGGAGCATATCTGCCACGCATGTCGCAGGGAGTGATGCCCCGCCGAGCAGTGCAGCTCCCCACAGATTCGACTGCTACCCTGCCCTCGCGCTCGTGCGGGTCTGGTGCCGTCCTTGACGGGCAGGCAGTCCAACGCCAAACCACGCGGATCAATATCATTGCCGGCAGGAGGCGCCGGGCGATCCCGCGCCACTCGCCTCACAGGTATCGATTTTCGAATCAACGCTGGCGCCCCGCACGCAACCCAGCGCGCCCCCTCCCTCCTGACTCCACAAACCCTCACCGATCAATTCAATCGCTGCCCCCGCGCAACCGGCCATAAACCCCCGAGGCTGTGAGCCACATACACATGCCCGAGCGCCTCCCCGACCCACCCTGCGCCATCGGCTCATCAAACACCAGGCCATCAACCTCAGCCCGGCCAACGGCACTGTTCCCGATCCCCGCCGCGAAGGCGCATCCCAAGCCGGCCCCCAGACTTCACACAATCCACTTTGAGCCCTCCCCCGCCCTACAGGGCATAGCACGGACGGCGACAAGCACAATTTGTCGCAGCATCATATGCAGGAAATCTTTTTCTTCTTCCCCTGCCCTGGAAATCGCCCCCAAGCCCCACCTTGGTCTCCGCCACGGCCCCGTACTGCCTGAAGAACTCCCTCAGCCGCCGCTCGTCCGTGTCCGCCGCCAGGCCCGCCACGTACACTGTGCTGGTGCTGTGCGCCAGCTCCTCGTAGCGCCCCAGGCTCACCGACCGACCGCGGTAGTAATGATGCGCCGGCACGCTCACGCTCCGGCTGCGGCCCCGGCTCCTGCTCTTGCGCGCGCTCCGCGATCGGCCCCGCCTCCCGCGGCCGCCGCTCCGGGACCGCGATCCCGACCCAGAGGATGAGGGCGATCGGGACGGGGAGGGGGATTTCGACGACTTGGCCGACTTGGAAGGGGACTTGGAAGTGGAGGGGGAGCGGCTGGGGCGCCTGGAGGCGCGGGGAGGGGGCTTGTTGGGGGGCGGGCGGGGACCGCGCGGGGTGGGCATCTCGCCGGACTCCGGCGGGGAGGACGACTTGCTGGACATGGCGGCCGCGGTGCGGCGTGGTGCAGGGGAGGGGGCCCGTCGGCGGCAGGGGAAGAAGACCGTGGCGCCTGGGGGGGGACGGGGGCTCTGTGGTGGAAGCGGGAGGCGGAGTAAGGGCTAACTAATCACGCATTGTGCCTGCACTGCACAACGAGGCGTTTTGCGAGGAAATTCTTCTCTACTGCGGAGGAGAGGAAAGGGACCCTTTCCTGAACGAGAGGAAGACAGTGACAATGCTTGGGTTCCTTTTGAGGTGTTTTGCGCCGCGGAGAAATGTTGCAGCGAAAAAGAAAAGATCAAGGTTTCCAAGACTGGCGAGAAATGGAGGCCTTTGGGGTGAGAACGCGGGAAGGAGGCAGGATTGGGAGACGGGCTGGTTGAATGCGGTTTATCCCAGCTGGTCGCCTCCCAAGAGCGATCAACGTGTTAGAGAGCTTTTGGGCCGCTTTGTACGCCCTGTTTCAAGCAATCCCAACCAATCCCACTACGACTGTTTTACAGTCCATTGCGCTTCAACGCATCCATACCGAAAATATTAAACCCTTCCGCATAGTGGCGCAATGCTTGGCCTCCTTCGCGTGGAAGAACTAGCAAAAGCGTAACAGCAAAGTCTGTTGTTTCTGCGGAGCAACACAAAAAAGGTAATGACGCTCTGAAAAGAAATGCGGAGCAAAACGCGTAGCGGTAGATTTTTTGATGCGGAAGGGTTGAACATTTTACTCTGGTCGACTTGCCCTGGACCCCAACGCCAAATTACCTGATCAATTTTGTTGTAAAAATGGTTGGCCCAGAGAAAAAGAGGCTGCGCGCCAGTTTTCCAGTACATTGGTCAACAACGGGAACGTGCGCTGAACAGTCATCCGCGTCGTGGGCTCTAGTACCTTCCTCGTCAGGGCCGCAGGCGCTGCGGGGCGGTTCTTTCGGCTGCCGGCTGCGAGGCGACGCGCGGCGGGCGCACCATGGCGGACGAGTACATCCACCAGGCCAACGGCTTCTTCGTGGACGGGGACTACGAGGAGGCTGTGGAGCTTTACACCAAGGTGAGCCCAACCCTCGCCACCCGCCACGCGTGTGGCGGGCAGGCACCCGAATGCCGCCATTGTCCCACGCGTCAAGAAGACAAAAGGGCTGCGGCCCGCCAGAAAAGCAGGAAACCAGAGATAGCACGGCGGGGGCTTGGGGTTGAAAGGGGATGAAAATCGCAGAGGACTGATTTGCGCAATCACGGGGCGGGAGGGATGCGGGCTGGTCGGCATGCCCTGACGGCCAGCAGGTGTCGAGAAGGGGGGCTGAAGGTGGCTGGGTGGCCGCTCCGTTTTGCAGGCCTTGGAGAAGGACCCGGACAATGCCCAGACGCTGGCCGCCAGGGCGGAGGCCCACCTCCGGCTGGAAAACTACATGGAAGCTTCGGAGGACGCCGGCAAGGCGATCGACCTGGCGCCAGACATGCCAAAGGCGCACTTGAGGAAGGGGTGAGTCCCGCGTCCGTGCTGCGGCCTGGCGCCTTCAGCCTCATTGGCACGTCAGCGAGAAACGCAGAGCGGATACGAGTGCAGTGGGATCGAGGCACTGATGAGGAAACGGTTGTCCACCAGGGTTAATGTCGGTTGGCGCGGCCCACAGTTGCTGAATACTGGTATGAAGGAGGCCTTCCTCTGTGGGGCAAGTTGAGGTGGCAATGGGTTCGAAGACTGACTCGTGGGCGCCCCGTCTGGGCCTCGCCTTGCGGGGCGTCTTAGTGCGCCTGAGGGAATTTGCGACGCTAATGCGTTGGCACAATTGGACGGCTGCCGTGGAAATGACGCCCAGCTGATCGCGGTCGCTTGACTTTGGCTGTGTACAGGATCGCGTGTTTCAACTTGGAAGAGTTCGAGACCGCCAAGGCGTGCTTTGAGACGGGGCTGGGACTGAATCCCGGCAAGAAGGAACAGAAGGACATGCAGATGTGGATACGAAAGTGCGACGCTGAAATGGAAGGTGCGACTGGGGTCGCCCCGCCATGCCTACAAAGCAATGGTCCAGGGCATGGGAGGGAGAAAGCCATCCCACCAAGACTAACTTTCGCCTTTACACAGCATCACAGGCCCCATTGGGGAGGGCAAGGGGGAGGGGGAGGCAGTTCCCTTGATAATTGTACAGGATTTGCTGAAAGTTCGATGGAGTGGGTGCATGAACCCCTTTGTCAGTTTGATAATGTTGAGCAGGCTTCGAATGCATTCTTGAATGCTCAAAGGAACTGTCCACTTAGTTGCATTTCATTTGGCCAGGTGTGGCGTGAAACTTTTGATTTCTGTACGTTGCACGTCCACTGGATTTGCACCTTGGTTTGCAGTTGCAACCACGACCATTTAGTGCATACAATCATTTAAGTGCCCATTCTGAAGGCGCCCCTCTAATGCAAGGCTGTTGTCGATGCCACACCGGCACTGTGTTGAAGGCACTGCCTCGTTGGCCTTGCCTATCAGTAGTAGTCTTTGATTCCCCAGATCTGGGATTCACCAAAATTCGAACCATGCTCACTTTGTCACTTCAATGCAATCTCAGCTTGTGACAGGTAGCAGACCACCACCTCCCTGCTGGTGCCGGGATCCTACATGCCAAAATGTGATAAGCCCAACCCTTGCACCTGCAAGGCGATGTTGCAACACACAGAATGTCCAGAGCAGGATCTTTGTAAATGCTATTGTCCAAACTGCTGCTGCTATGAACGGTGCAATTCGCGGGACTGGTTGTTGTTGCACTGCTTTCAGCACCATAGGCTGCCAACTTCACTTTTAAATGTATCAATTGCTTCCCATGTCGATTTTAAAAGGTTGGGATTGTTGTGTACAATATGAAAATTTTTCGAATGTTTCAGATGTGATTTCTTCTAAAAGTTGTTTCAGCATCTTTGTTGCAGAGGAAATGGCCGATGCCCCTGCAGTCGCTGCTGCTGAGTTCACATCCGTGCCTGAACCCACACCCAGCACTGCCATGAGCGAGCCACAGGCTGATAACAAGCAGCCAGACATGAGCGCCCCACTTGCAAAAGCTGCCGAACAACAGCCCACTGGCAAGTACAGGTTGGCGCCCCACCCTCAACCCGCCTGACCCGCCCTTGAACCTGCCCAAGGATGATGTGATGTAACCAGCCAGCACAATGGACCTGTGGTGCATTACTGTCCATATCTTTTGTCTTCTTGTGCTTCTTTTACTTCTTCAGTTGTATTTGTCAGCACTGCAGTGACCGCTGTTGTGAGAGCTGCTTGGTGCCACTACTGTGGTGGCGTATTTGTCTCCGAGAACGCCGGACAGAGTACTGAACCCAGCAGTAGTTTGCTTGCCCTTCGCTTGGCAGTCTGGGTTTTGCACGGGCCTCAGCACTCCAAGATGAGCCCTTTCGCCAAATCTGGCGACTTTGGCCAGCAGTCCCAGAAGCGATATAGAGCCTGGACGACAACTGTGTTTTCATTGTTGCTAGAGGCGTGGCCCTGCTAATTGGGGCAGATTGGTGGCAGCAATAGATGGTTGCCAGTGTGTGCTGTACTTTCTTTAGTATTTGCTGCAAAGGGGCCACCTGCACTGAGTGTGCCATCTCCCAAGGTGACCCAGCATAAAGGCAAAATGAGCACGTCCCCATGGGTGGCTACCACACACCAATGACTGTTGGCTGTTGTGAGTGCTGGTAAAGCATTGCAGTTCCACCCCTTGAAGTACTCATTCGATCGTTATATCCGTGGCTAACCAGATGCTGCATGTGCAAGTAGCATAGCTGCGTTGAGTCAGTCTCTGTCAGCATCAGGATGCATACCGATTTTGCCTGTGAGTGCCACATGTCATACCACTGTGGTCTCGATGCCAGTGGCAGCAGCAGGTGACGAACCCCAAGTCCGTCCATCGTTCCCCAACCTGCACATCCAACCACAGCCAGCATTTGATGTTGTGTTCAACACGGATACGGCATGTGTGACAACATGCTTATCTGGAAGAAAAAGATCGTCACAACTTAATGTGTAGTGGCAGTGTGATGTCAATTTGACCATTATTGTCCCAATGGAATCACATCATCGTGGTGCACATCGGCATGGATAGTGCCACTGTAGCATTGGCTGGACTCTGAGCAGACGGTAGAGAATTGTTTGCCCTGCTCGTTTGGTGTTAGATATTGTCCACTGAACCCCAAAACCAGACTATCGAATAAACAGGGGGTGCAGAAAAGAGGTTGGTTCAGTTCCCTAAATTGTGTTTGTGCCTTTGACGAACGAGTTGTGGTGACTGTTTGTGTTGCCAGGCATCAATGGTACCAGGCGGGGCCATCCGTTTACATCCAAGTGTTTGCACGCAACTTGCCTGAGGAGCGTGTGAGCGTAGACATTCAGGAGGAGAAGGTTGTTGTGGTCACAAGAGATGAAGAGGGCAAGGAGGACTACAGGCTGGACCTGCCGCTGTTTGCAAAGGTGCTCACACCTTGTCATCCCGTTCCAGAGTATTGTATCATGTTCCAAAGTGCTGTATCATGTTTGAGAATCCAGGCGCCACCCCCATCATAATGGACGTGCACACCTTGGTGGTTTTCAGTTTAAAGATACTGTGCACCATATCAGACCAAAAGTTCCCACAGGTGTGGATGTTGGGGTCCCTGGGCTGGATTTTTTGTTTCCTGCCATTGTGGGTGAGGTTGCTTTGCTTATTGCAGTCTTTCACTGTGACTGAATTGCAGATGTGGACACTCCAAGCTCACAGCAGCGCCAAACAAATCCACTTTATGCCTTTTGGATGATTCTTGGCATCGATTTTTGCAAGCCAATAAGTTAGTTGCCTTCACCATAGCTGCTTCTTTGGTACATCTTGCATAGCTCCAGTGCTGTTTATTGCTGCATGGCCACGAGTGAGTGGAATTAATTGTTTGTGTGTCCAGTCTGAGTTGTTGATGTGCTGATTGGGATTGGAACTTGGTCCCTTGGGAGGGCGCGAACCAGCTGAGCAGCCTGCCAATATAATGCAGTTGTGGCACATTGTGCTGTTACAAATCTCAGCAGGCTAGCTTATGCTATGCTCGCCTTATCTGGGCAGTGCAGTTTATTGCTGCATGGGCACAAGTGAGTGGAGCCAGTTACCTGCGTGCCCAGTCTGAAATGTTGTTGCCCTGATTGGGATTGGAACTTGGTGCATCGGGAGGGTGCAAACAAGCTGAGCCGCCTGCCAATGTCATGCAGTTGTGGCATGTTGTGTTGTTGAAATCTCAGCAGGCGACGTTGTGCTGTGCTCACCCTATCTGGACATGGTTGTTTCAGATGAGGTTGGAATGTGGGCTAGGATTAAACGTTTGCCTTGTAAAGGACACTCTTGTGGAGGTGGCTGATGTTGGCTGTTTCCTGTTGTGGGAAGGTTATTCCTGATCAGTGCAAGTACGAGCGTCTGAGCACAAAGATCGAGATCAAGCTGAGGAAGGCAGAGGACTCCATCACTTGGGTATGCGTGGTGAACACCACAACATTTGTACAAGGCCAGAGGCTTGTGCTGTGCATTTGTCGGTGGTCCACATGGGAACAGCCCAGCTCTCGGTGTTTGCAGAGTCGATGTCCCCTTTTCTGGGCATTCTGTGTTGGATGAATTATTGCCATTTGCTGAGAGAATCTGTTGTCGATGCCACCTGATCAATGCAGGCGACAATCTCAAGCAGCACTGCTGAGGCAGACCCAAAAGACAACTACCCCTCTTCCCACAGGAAGCGCACCGATTGGAACAAGTTGGATAAGCAAATGAAGGTACGTGCGTGCAGGGAGTTGCTCAACCATGGCATGCTGCCCAGATGTTATGCGGCCTCCAAGACCAGCGTATGTTCATTCCAGACGAGGCAGCACAATGTGAAATGGCCACCGCATCAAGCCACGTTGTCTCCAAGATGCTTTGTCATTTTATGCTGTCCTGTTGAGCATGAACGATTGGCAAAGGACAAGTGGCAGTGGCTGCTGGTTCCTTATTCTGTGCTGTGTTTGCATTTGGTCAGTGTGCATATCTGCATTTCCCAATTTATGTGCACTTGTGTAGTCCTTTGCAATTCGCGACATGTGCGCAGGGTATAGCCGTGGTTATGCTAATGGATTGAATTTCTCTGTAATGTGAAGCAAATGCTGTTCATGTAGATGATTGTGCAGTGGACGACAGTGTTTATCCGCCTGAGTCCAGTATGGAGGAATGCAGACCTCTGTTACTTGAAACGACTTTATTTGTAACCCAGATTTGTGTGTGGCTGCCATAAAGCCTCTTCCCTTTCGTAACAGACCAGAGGACCACTGTGTGCTGGTAGTCTGGCATGCCTTGTGACGCTTATTGGAATGGAGTGCTCTGTGCGATTGCCAGACAGAACTTTGGAATTTGAAGAATGCGGGTTCGAAAATGGGTGTGAATGTTGATGGATTTATGCAGGAGGAGGAGGAAAACGAAAAGCTGGACGGCGATGCTGCAGTGCAGAAGCTCTTCAGGCAGATCTATGGAAGCGCTGATGAAGACACAAGAAGGGCCATGAACAAGTCGTTCGTGGTGAGCTGTCGGTGTCTGAGAGTTGGCATCCATCTGTGTGCGTGTACGCACGAAACTTCGCTGTGTTTAAGTCCACGCTGGCTTTGCGAAAGCAATGCAAGCAATGTGTACAATACGCATATACGATGCATATGCACAATGTATGTGCAGCGCGAAAATGCAAGCAATGTCTAGTTTCAACCCAAAACAATTGGCAACTTCTGCATCATGGTCATCTGTAGATGTTCTCCCAGCCCCACGTGCACCACCTCTTCCCTGTAGATGCGATTTTCTGTTTATCCCCTTTTTGCGATGGACTATATCAAGAGTGTGGAACGTATCAAACTCCAGCAGGGCGGAGCCGACAAGGTTGGGTAGCTTCGCAGCATTGTTATTGCCTGTTACTCTGGGCGTTGCTGAAGTTTGTCAGCCGCATGTGCATCTGTTGAAAGGCCCTGTATCCATCATTCTGCAGACGATGATATTCGTGGTTATTTTGCACTTTTGATTCGCCTGCCTCGCCTTGAGCAACGCAGTGCAGTCACTCTCGCAGAATTTCTTGCAGAGAGGCCGTTGCCAATCGGGCACTGCAGTTGCTATTGGTTTCGGGTGGACAAACTGCTATACACACGGATTGGCTCATGGCTGTTAGCGAGGTACTTACAGCAGCAGTCAAGTACCTGTAGCGACGGACAGCCACGACCCAATCTGTTCACTGTCGAGACTTGGCTGCTGACGCCCTGCTCTAATCCGGCCTGCTCCTTTAGCACCAAGTAACGACTTGGACCATCACCAAGCGTTGTGCTTGCACTCCCCGCATTATGGTGATCAGCTGCTTATGAAAGGGATTAATCATGCAGATCCCCAAGGTGAATTTCATTTGTGTTCCCTGTGCGCAGGAATCCAATGGCACTTGCCTGTCCACCAACTGGAAGGACGTGGGTTCCAAGACTGTGGAGTGCACGCCGCCCACTGGCATGGTGGCCAAAAAGTATAACGAGGATTGACACTCCCCCTCCCCCCGCCCTCCCCACAACTGGCCATAGATTCCGGGCTGCCTGCTTGTGGCAGTGTGCTTGTCAGAGGAGATTTCCGCACCTGTACATAGTTGTGCCGGCGAATGGGATATCGCACGCAAGTGGATATGTGTGGCGTCACGAGTTGGCGTCTAGTATTGGTTGGCGGCTTATGTTGACGTCTTGTATTGGCTGCGGACTGCTTGCTCGATTCCACCTGGGCGAGTAGAGTGACGGCAGCGGCCAGTACCCTATTTCCTGGGACGTGCCGCTTGGGTTCAGAAACGGGTGGTGCCTTGGTGTCACAGTGTCTGGCGACTTTCTTATGAGGACTGGGGGTGGGTGGCTATGCTGTCTCGGTGTATGTAGATGAACTGGGGTTGCTATCAAGGGGCTGCTTATCTTTTCCCATGGATTCCGGAGCTTGCTGTGACTACTGACGCGCTTGCAGGGGGCCCAACCGCTGACGCGTGTTGGACAGCCGGCAGGCGTCGCAACCTTCGCTGCTGTAGCCCATGGCACAGCGCTCGTCACTTAATGATGCCGTTCAGAGCAGTGTCTGGGCGGTCTCCAGTGTCTGGGTCTTTAATGACAGCCGCTCGTCGTAGCGCTCGTTCAAAACTGTCATCGCCGGCTCAATCACAAGTGTCCGACCAGGCTGCAGCATTCTATCCCTGGAGACAATCGAAATGTAGTAATGGCGATGTCCGCGCAGGATCGGAGGCCACACATCAGCATCCTGCCGTACGGCGCACAGCGCGCCGTCTTATGGATGGTGTGGGACCCCGCCAAAGCGTTCCTCAGCCAAACCCTGTCTGCTCGACGCCGGCCAATTTTCCAAATTGCCACCAGGTTTTTCATCGTCAACACGCTCGATTTCATCCTACAGGCTCTGGATGTTTGTGTCGTCTCCAGCCTCGCAGCCATCGCCCCTTCCCTCGCACTCCACAAACTATTGACATCTGCTGGAGTCCTCCCCACCTCACTTCCTGCGACGAAGCGAAATCGAATTCAACGTGACCCAGCATAGGAGCAACACTGGGCGCATTGGTGTGCTTTAGATGAGGGCATTGGCAGGCCGAACAGCGCCACAACGGTTGGCTGGAGATATCAGCCAGGCAAAGTCTGTTCCTTCTCACACCCTGACAAAATGGCATCGTAGACCACTACAGCCGTTCCCACAGAAAGAGTGAACAGCAGCGATCGGAATGCTGAACACAGCAAAGGGCCAGCAGCGCGGTCAGAGAATAAGGTCCAGCGACCGGTGTCCTATCGGCAGGAATGGCCAGCGATGAGGAGCTGGTTGTCACTTGTGTGTGATGCATCAGCAGGCGAAAGAGGAGACGAGCAATATGCTAGCAGGCACGTCATTCATCAAGTACGACAAAAATATATATTGCCCCCAAAAAATGAAAAAAATGAAAAATGGCCACATTATTGGCACAGAATGGATTGGTAAATGGCCACATGATTGGTTTCGATTCGGTTAATTGATTCGTAAATGGCCACATGGTTGGTTTCGTCTTCTCCCTTCAACTTGTTGCATGCTTTTGTTGGGTGTTTCGCAGTGCTCATACAGTCAAGGTTCAAGGCTGAAAGCTAGTCTGCGAACAAAGGCAACATATTCTCACAGTGTCTGCATCAGCGTGATGCTGTCTCCCTTCAACAGTATGCGTCCTGCGCAAGCAACAAACCAAATTCAGGTGTCGAGGGGAGAAATGCAATTGGCAGCAATGCCAAGAGATATTCGAATTTAGCACATTGCCTTGTGTTGCAGAGGTGGAGTCGGACGGTTGAGGTATCGTGACTGGCCCAAACTGAGCTTCTGATTGCCTGAGCAACAGCTCATCTGTGGCTGGTTTGAAGTGTATCAAGCAGCCAAGGCCATCGAACAGATACGGCAGGGACACCAGCAACATCAGTTTATGAACGTTTGACGTCCAGTCACACAGATCTCTGTTCTCAATGCCATTTGCTGGTCCTGAATTGGTGTGTTGCATGGCATTCAACAATATCACAAGGTCGTTTGGGACCCAATGTCTTGCTGGGCAGTAGCAACCTCCATGGACAGCAGCTCCCAAGAGTGTCTGGCAAGCACAGAGCTTCCTGCTGACCCCTGGCCAACCGATCTTGGCGATGGTAAACAAGTGCTGTCCCCTCACTTGACATTACCTTGACACAGGTTGACAAATCCACCCATATCAGCTGACAACACAATGCCGGCGGCACACTTTTGCACACACATGCTCCTCACAGCACAGGCTGCCATGATTTGAGTGCTATCCCTTGCAGTTTGTCTTGCACTTTCGGGTGCTTCTACACAATCTTTCACTGCATGGGAAGCAGCCTCATATAAAAGCTCAGGAGAGGCGTACGGCCCTTGCTTGCCAGAACTCCATTCTTGTTGCAGCAGGGGTTCAAAGCCAACACACCTAGTGCTTTTCTTGACTTCCTCTTCACGGAGACCTCCTCAGCCTCGTCCAACACCAGGTTCATGTATTCATCGAAACCCTGCAGAACAGGTGAGCCCGTGGCACGCCGTCAGGAATGCTGTGATCGGGACGCCACCACAGCGCTGCCGCCTCCAGGGATCAGTAGGCACTCACAATGATTTTGCCCTCAATTCGCATGTCCGCCTGCTCGAACAGCCAGATCGATATTCTCTGTCTGCTCTGCAAGAACCTGAATATCAGGTTCTGCGCAAATGAAAGTGAAGTCAGTTCAACACCGCCTCCGCAATAAACAGAACAAGGAAGCAGGGGCGCATGGGGGCGCACGAAGGGGCACATCTCGTGTCGCACATTCAGGCATCTGAGCAGGATCTCAACTCCATGAAGGATCTGTCCCGTGAAATGCAGGCAGCCACGGCCTTATAGGGCCGTTTGTTCGACATCGATACTCACAATGGGCTGCGTCATGATCCGTTGCACTTTGCTCGCCATGGCTGCTGTCCTCGGCCGTGAGGCGGCGAAGCGGCCTTTCAAGAAGTGAGCAGCGCCCGCTGGGATGCACTGGACGGGGTCTACAGACGAGGGAGCTTTCCGCTCAACAGCCGAAGTCGCGGTGGAAGGCAACGGCGGCCGGCAGTACGGAGAGACAGCAACGCGGGGGTGCAGCGACTTCGCAGTGCACGAGCCCAGTGCAGGAGGGGCAGGGGAACTAAACTAACTTGACCATAGACTTAGACGGCCGCAAAATACCGATGCATGAAGATACGCAGGATACGGCCACGGACACAGCGAAACCGCAAAACCACAACGGAGACCCGGTGGCACCTGAGGCGTGGTTGCAGAAGCGCCGGAGGGCAGCATGCGGGCACGGCAGCCAAAGCTGGTTCGCCCGCCGTGTGTCTGCCGCCCAACTCCGTGCTCAGGGCCGCCGAGGTGCTTCCGCCGCTCTGAGGGGTTCAGATTGAGGGATGGCTGCGCCTGTGGCGCAACGGGGGCCCGTCCGTTGGCCGGGCGCGAGGATGCAGCCGGCATGAGGGATGAAAAGGTGGAGGAAGGTGAGCTGGGCGGCGGATGAAAGGAATGGAGATGCAGCACGGAGGAGTTTTTGGCTTTGAAGTCCGCTGTTTGGGCCTTTGGTGACAGTGAATCAGAATGGCATTGCTGTTGATGCCCTGGACGGGGCCTTGGGTGCATGTTGTTGGATCAACGAACGACAGCGCAAGGTTCCATGCATGGGCGCCAGGATTCCGCGTGCACGGCTGTCAAAGGCCACTTCTCAGTGTAGGAATGGCAAATTGATTCATGGCACTGGACGTGGTCCCCTACTCCTTGTCTGTGAATCCATTGGTTGCAGCTCGGCAGTGACACAGCCAGCAATCTACCAATCCGACATGTCCGACCTCCTGTGCCTTGCAGGCGAAGACAGGCAACGCTGTAGTGCGTGATTGCCTTGTTTAGGAACGAGTGCAGCCTCAATCCAATACAAGGATTTGCCCCTTAGTGTGCCATCACAGCTGGGATGACGTCACGCATTGCGCAACGTAAAGTAAACAGACAGAAGGCAGGTACAGTGTATGTCATTTAATGCATTAATATGATACTTGGGGCACATCTGAAAGCGAGAAAGATGGTAGAGTGTAACCTGCATGTGAGCTGGGGTGCAAGCGTTGTGGCCGAAGGGACAAAGTCACAGAAGCAATGTTGGTAAACTGGCCGAAGCAGAGGTCACTGCACGAAGTATGCCATTGATATCAGCAGGCACCTGTTGTCTGTCTGTCTGTTGGTAGATGCTGCTCCTTGTGTAGCTTGTCACAGTTAGTTTTTTTTGACATGGGCACAACACACGTACAGACCACACCCAGAGTGGGATGGAGGCCAATTGATCCAAGGCATTGTCTAATTTGATATGCTCATTGGATATGATGCACAGCCTGCTGTTGGCTACCGATGTGTGTGATTATCTCAGATTGCAACAGCTGCCCTCCATCATAAGTAGAATGAACTACTGCAATGTCCAATGCCCTCGATCCCCATTCCGCCTTTGATAAACAGTACCCAATGAACATTGCAACTCAATACCACGTCTGTGTTGTTCAATGGTCGCATGCGAAATTCCGGTTGTGTTAACCCTCACTGCCCCTAAAATACCGCCAGTCAGCCACTCACTTCACTGCTTGCGTGCCCCCTCATGCCAGAGCTCATCGCCAGCCGCGTCCAAGAGGCTGCGAGGGTGCTGGATGACATCATCAAGGACGTGTGGAGGGAGATGTACCTGACCAGCGCAGTCAGGTATGCCAACGATGAGGAGGCCCTGCCACAGGAGGATGAAATAATCGCTGAGGTCGTGCGGTCCAGATTAGGGACCATGGAGCCCAGCTTCTTGGGCGCGATGGATGCCTACGCAAGGAATGCGAAGTCTGTGGGCGGAGATGACTTGGAGGGCTTGATCGACAAGGTCAGGAGGAGGGCACGGCTCGGGTGGGTGCCACCACAGAGAGCAACACTCACCCAGTCCTTTTGCTGGAACCCAGGGTTTGGTAGCCTAGTGGATTGGGGGTGCCGGCAAAAAGACTGGGCGAGCAAGTGGACACCCAGTTAGGCTGCTGATCGGGATGACGCTCATGCATCTACTGGTTCTGCCCAGGGGCTGCAGCACAGTACGAACCCTCATTGGCTAAATTATCTTGACATCACCAAATCACTGATGTTTCCAGCATTGGGCGACACTGGTGTTGGGCCATGCCAGCAGCTCTGTTGGCATCTTTGGCGCTGTGCTGTAGCAGTTGTGTGTAGATCTGCGCTTGCATGTTAGCCATATTGTGGCAGTGTATCTGTGCAATGCAGTGCTTAACATGGAATAGTCACTTGTATCGTCTCTGAGTTTGCACCACCACCTTCACTGCCTACATGTATCACCTTCCATCGCCTGTGTTGCTGTGTGCTCGTGCAAAGTTTGGGCTTGGAACAACCAACTTGGGACAGTTGATCGTGGACACACAATGTTTTCCAATGATGGCCTCGTGTGTGCCCAGATTTGGGTTGTTGACATCAAGCAAGGCAGTCCCAAGGATCACGCTGTCCTGCACAGATCTTCCATATGCTTGTAATGTGTAGAACATCTTACCACATGAAGTGGGCACTGGACATGATGCTTAGCATTGCTCAACTGCATGCCACTTACTTGAACAGCAATGACCTGATGCTGCTTGATGCTGTAGTGCCAAGCACTTGGTGAGCAGTTTCGCCATGAAACATGTGTACTGCAGTGCTGCAGTGTGGATATGTCCCATTGTTGTTGTTACTTTCATCGCAGATTCGACAGGAAGTGCTGCGCCAACTGACTCAACGGTTTCCAAAGGAGGTCATCGCATTGGAGAGGGTCCTTGATGTGGAAAGCAAGGAGGAGCGAGTGGACCTGATTAGAGAGGCAGCGCAAGAGGGGGGTGACAGCGTTGTGAACCCCCAGCAAATGAGAGCAGTTGCGGACCAGTTTATCAACGATCTTGAGAGCCAAAAGGACATCGTGGACCGGAAGCTACTGGCCAAACTATGCCTTGTCAGGGAAGAGAGCCGACTCCTAGAGATGTGAGTCATGGACTCTTCGTCAGGAACATTCCCGCCTGGACTAATCTGCTGCACTGCAGGTCTTTGCTTGTTTGTTGATGTTGACAATGCCGCTGGGGAAGGATGGCCAGCTTATCATGGCACTGAACAATTCCTTTCAGTTGCAGTTTTCAGAGTACCCATAACAAACAGCGGCTTCACACCTTGGAGGCGATGATGGGCACAGGAATGTCCAATCAGTGTTTGTTCGAGTTCCCATGATGTTGTTGAGTGCTGGGCATTTGTGAAGTCAAGTGTAATCCAGTGTGCGTACTCTGCAAACTGTGCTTTTCTTAACGATAAGCAACGTGGCCATGGTGGGCAACTATCAGTGATTGACAGTGGGAGTGAATGGCACGGTGTGCTTGATGCTTCCACGTTTCTGTGTCTTATCATGGCGTCACTCTACCCTTACCTGCAGTGTACAGTTGTGGCACTTTGGAAAGCGCTATTGTTGTTTGCGATGAGCCACCACATGCTGACCTGGAGAATTCCTAGTGGAGTTCTCTCCACATGCAGACTGATCTGCCAATTCGCTGTGTAGGGAAATGCGATTCACGAATCCAGGCGCCCTTGAGGATGATGTGGAAGCACTGAGAACGAATGTGTATGCGCGGGCGACAGCCTTCCTGCAGCAAGTGATGCGGGTAGCAGATTCGGACAGGAGGTGCGCTCTCCGCCTGTCAGCGTTTCGAGTGTATCGGATGCTTCTGGGCCAACAGTATTTATTCACTGAAGTAGTTGACTTACATGGGAATGGAGTGGACTTGTCATTGGCTGATTACACGTGGTGCACTGCAGATGACCGCATGGCATCAAACTGTGCAGGCCCAAGCGACGGCACCCGTTTCTCCCTAGATCTGACCATTATGTCAGTGCAAGATAAATAAGTTAGTGATTATGAGGAGTACTGGGTGAATTGTGGTGTCGGTTAATATGAGCATGATTTGTAGACGGTGAAGTGGACGCAGAGATATGGCGATTACAGACGAAAATGCACTTGCAGTGAATATGTTTATCTGCTGCACTCTTTCTGCTATTCATCCGGTTACAGTTTTTGCTTGCTGCGCATTGTAGCGACCGTGCGCGGGGTTCTAGATTTCCTTCTCATTGACGAAGGCGATCATTGAATTGACGACCTGTGTTTACGACCGGATAGGTTGTCCCTGTTAGAAAAGGCCTTCTACGAAGACTGGGAGGGAGCTGCGCCTGGGAAGGCTGGGCAGGTCCAAGTGATGGGGGGAGAGGCGCCAGACTTCGTGCGGCCTGGCAACTTCATGACGACACTGACCCTGACGCAGAGGGAACTGGACGCCAAGGACGAAGTCCCAGATGCTGTCAAGCAGCGCGTGGAGGACATCAGGCGAGAGGCGCTAATGGTGCTGAGAGAAATGGCGTGGGGGAGGAAGATGAGTTGATGTGTGGTGAGGGAGGAGGGACGGTATCGATCCTTTGGCTGTATTTGCCAAACGGCTGAGCATTGCTGTTGCACCCCAAAGGCGATGATGGCCATGATTTCAGCAACATCATTTTACAGTGGTGGATTGTTTCGATCCTCTGAGTGCATTTGTTGATAAGCGCTGATGCACAATCATTGCACCTGCAAGGACGATGTTGGACAGAAGCAGGGGGATGGCACCAACAGATGAGCTGAGCTCATCTTGTATGAAAAATTATCAGAGGTTCTGAGAGCTGGTGTTATGAGCGAAATACCCACAATGCGATGACCATCATGAGGTTGCCCAACAACCATGTTATAGAGCCCCTGCGCAACCAGATTCTACTTGGCAAGAGATTTGTGCTCGTGGGTCAGACTCGCGGTGTCACTCCACCAGTCGATGCGCTGTCAAAATGCTTATGCCTTGAATTATTGCTGGCTGAGAACAGCACCATATAGCCTGTGTGGGCTTGAGTTGGCACAATCTGCCAGCCACACGTTGCGTGGAACAGAGAACAGCTGTTGGAGCGTGCCCCCCAAGGTTCTGCTGCCCACTTCCAGCGCCCCACAGTGTTGGGAGGGCGTGAGGAAACGTCGTATTTGTTGATGCTGTTAACAACCTGCTCATGTCTGCTCATTGCGTCCCAGTGAACAGCCACTTCCTAGCAGGTGGGTTTCTGACATTCTCCCTATCCCATGCTGCGCAAAGCGTTTGGAAAAAATGTAATGAATTCACAACACTCTAAAGAATTGGTGCACTGCGATGTTTGCTGATGCTGCAAACGCCGCACTCTCTTCCACTCAGAAGTTCAGGATGATCCGCCCTGGGTCCACGCCTGCGCCCTCCATCATCTCCGTGACCGCTTGACACATCTCCTTCTGCCCACACAGCACGACGCCTACGTCGTCTGGGCTGCCCAACAAGTTCTCCTTGTCAAAGACGTCCTGAACATAACCCACCCCGCTGCTGGAATACACGGGCACGACCTGCACCCCCAGCGACTCCCACTCTGGCAACTTGTCAACGTAGGCCATTGCCTCCCTATCCACAGCACCGTAGTACAGGATTGCAGTCTGCCGCCTGTCCAGGGCCAGGGCTTCGGACTCGATGAGCGCCCTCACGGGGCTGATCCCCGACCCAGTGGCGAACAGGAACACTGTGCCAACGTCCTCTGGAGCGATCTGATCCACAGGGAAGCCCTTCCCCATCACGGCGCTCGCCAACAACTCGTCACCTGTGGTGTGTGCGAACGTTCCGTTTTGTGCAAAGTGCATCCACACGCCGTTCATGAACACGGAATCGGCCATAGAGGCGTGGAATGGCATTGGTCATATAAAGATTGGGGGGGAGGGCGCAGTGTTGAGCCTGTTCTTGGGTGCTGAACAATGCTGGCTCTCAATCTTCGCTCAGGAGGACTCGCTCCTGTGAGGGGCCGTCTGGTGCAAGGCAGAGGATGCTAGGGTGGATTACATAATGCAATCGATTGTTCAAATGTGGAGCATTGCATTGAGCACGGAAGCGTAGCTATTTGTTCGCCACTATTCACTGTCTCCAGACTCATATTTCATGAACCATAGCTTTCCAACCTGTTCACCATCAGCCGTGTGTTCACCATATTTACCATGGGATCTCCTAAGTCGTCCTCACACTGGCCATCGGCTCTAAGGTGCAAAGCCAAAATTTAACGTTTCTGGGACAAATGCTATGCAAGTGGGACAGATGCCATGCAATGTCAACGAAGACCGCTGTGAACAACGCTGTAGCGATTGAGAGTGCCAAAGGCTCAGCAAGCCCAGTTGCCTGCCAGGCATCGGGCTCAAACCAGGGCACAATGCCAGTAAAGCAGGGCTGACTTCCAGGGGTACTACAGCAGACGTAGGGCGGTTGGGAGGGGTCAGGAATCTGAGGATGTTGGTTTCTTGCCACACACTATTTTTGGCGAGCACTGCATAGAATAATCAATAACCAAACGCCAAGGGCACCGACCTTCTTGAAGTTTGCAGAGCTGCTCTGCAGTCTCCCCCTGGTTCTTGACCAGGATCTCGATCATCCCAGCGTTGTTGGGATCGGGTGGTGATGCGATGGCCATGAAAGCTGGTCCAGCATCTTCGCTCACCTTGAGTTGGAGGTACTGACCAGGCGTTGTGTAGGTAGAGCCCAGTGGCCCGATGTCTATGGACAAGCTCTGCAGCTGCGATGAACAGGCACACAACAGATGTGAGCGTTCACAAGCAAGCCAAAGCAGGAACAGAAGCACCTGTCTATTGCAGATGTGAAACACTCAATGCCTTGATCGCCTTGAGCGTGTTTGGGCAGTGCTCTATCCAGCAACTTGACAAAGCATGCCAGTGAGCCTGCACCTGCAAGTGCCTTGCATTTGCTCACATACTCTCAGCCAGGCAACGCAATGGAGTTCTTTGACATCTGTCTGGAGGGAAAGACTGAACACACAAATGGAATGTTGTAAACAAGATGTTCACGTGAAGGTTAAGTCAGGAGACGTGTTGCAGGGGGGCACTTATCCTCAAGTCGCAACTTTCCTCTTTGGCTGTGAACCGCCTGCAATAGCTAACATATCAGGGAACAAGTGATAGTAAAACTTTCAGCACCAGGCAAGCCTATTTCCAATGGGCAGCAGAAAGAGAGAATATTGGCTGATGAAGTCGTAGTTCGTGATTTGGTTGTGACGGACTGTACGTACAGGAAGCACCAGAAGTGTGCACCAACGCACTGACTAGTCGTTGAAAGAGCTCCCCTGAGCTGAACCCAACATCAAAGGTCTACAAGGGTAAGTGGCAGAACTTGGAACAAGCTACAGTTCCCTTGCACACAATTCCAGCCGAGCGTGAAGTGCTGAGTGTGAAGTACCTTTGTAGCAACCTTTTCAGATTTGACCATAGTGGCCTTGCTGAATTCCACATCCTTGCCCCAGGAAGCTGTGATTGGAATGTGGAACCAGGGAGTATCGGCATCAAATCTACAGCGCAATTCACCATGTCAGCAATTCAGAGCCAACGCATGCAGGCAATGCAATCTGTTTCACGACCCTGTGGACCAAATGAATCCAAGTCTGACCCATGCACTCCAGGATAGTGTCCGTGATCCCATTCCTCTTGCTGCATAGCCAACTGGCAGTGCATGAGCAACGAAATTGGCACAAGTACAGTAGTCAATCATTCTCTGCATAGCATCCCCAAGGCGCAAAGGTACTGTTCTTTTGTTAATGGTCAACTCAATCAAAGCGGATGTACAACATGCCATCTGTATGTACACCATCTCAAAACCAACTGCATTCTGTGCACTACCAACTTACAACATATCTCTGGCCAGATAGGGCAGCAAGAGCATCCGCTGGGTGCATGCTAGAGTGAGATCCTGTTGCCTCCATTTCCAGACATGCACAATTGAAGTACAATAACAAACTCAGAAAGACATGGTTCATGACCGCATTCGCAGTTCACCAACCCGCACCGTTCGAACATCCAACCAATTTGCACATTGACGTTTTATGGCAATCGTATTTGGGACAATTCACAGGAAGCCTCATTCCCAGCAGCGCCTCTCAGATGCAAGGGTTGTGTTCTGTTATCTTTAAATAAATCCAGTCAATAGATTCACGGCATTCGGCCGTCAGATCAGAACGCCAATCACCACGATCCCAACATCCCATTCCCATGGCTCCCCATCATAATCAATGGCTGCCTGAGACCCAATTTCTGCTCTTCGACAACCATCATTATGTGTTGCAGGTGGATTGGGAACGAATAAATGCACGCGCGATGGTCAGAACGGCCCTATAGATGCACACATGCCCGTCATCCCCTGCGCTGTGCAGGATGC